CTATGAGTCAAAAACGACTCGACGGCACATAATAACAACAATGTTTACAAAGAACTAGAATATCAATTCATTCCTTGTTGCACATTTTCATCCCTGTCTCAGCTCACGACTACTTCACTTTTTTCTTTGGAAATAAAGTTCTTTCATTGTTATACAGCTTCCCGCTACCACCACCACTTTACTATGCAACTCTTATTCTGGACTCTTGCCATGCCAATAACATAATTGTATGTTTCTTTTATACAGTTCTCTCGCTTGTCTGTTTCAATGCTGTGTACATTATTTATCCCCTCTTTCTTACTTTTCCTCACCACCAAACATTTGTTCTCATATTTTGGATTGTGGTTTCTTATTTTTCCAGAGCCTTTAATGCCTCATTTGTTTTATCTACATTGTTTTGAATTTTTTTAAGCTCCTCCTGGTTTTTGTTTGCAGCGTCCTGTTATTCTTCAAGTTTGTTTTTCACCTACTGAAAATATTCAATCATTGTTCTTTTAAATTCTGTGTCAGAAAGTTTCATCAGACTTTCTGTCTTCAGGAAATCCACTGATATTGTGTCACTCTTGGGTGGGGGCGGTGACATCTTGTTTTGGGTTGTGTAGGGGGCATGGTAGCCTGCTTCCTGCATGACATTGCTGTGGTTGAGTTTTTCCTGTCTGAGGTGATAGCAGGTTCTTACCTGAAGTCACTGCTGCAGAAGATGGTGAGGCAACTACCCTGCCTGAGTTTCTCTCAGATCAACAGAGAAAAGGCCTGTGGAAGTGGCCTCCTCTGTCAGACAACTGCTGCAGCAAGGGTAGCCGAAGGTGCTCTGGACTAAATGCAGTTGATGGACTGGATGGGAGGAGATGTAAGGCAGATAGCAGAAACCTGATTGGAAAGCCAGGAAGCCTTGACATTCCCTTCAAGAATGAGCTCCTGCACTGCAATCCCAGACGTACGCGATTCGAATCCATCAGATGCTCTGCCAGAAAAGGAGGGACAACCTCCTCATGTACCAGTCAGATCCTATTTGATGGTACACACACAAAAATGAGCTCCTGCTACCTCACTCTCTTCTTATTAAGCTTAAGGGGTCCCACATGATCTAGTCAAGCAACAGTGACCCCTCACAATGTAGCTCACTCAAGTTCCAGTGTCACTCCCAGGTGAGTGTTGGGAGCAGCATTCTGGGCATGGGACAACAGCGATGGGACTAGAGTTCCAGGCTCGCACTCATATTCCAGATTTCCTGATTGCTCCAGCACATTCCTCCCTGGAGCATTAATCCCCTGTGCATCACTCCCTGGTGCATATATGACATCAGCAAGAGGCTCCCTGGTGTGTGTCTGACATCAGCAAGCAGCGCAGCTCCCTGGCATTTTCTGACAGTTGCTTTTGATTTCTGTCACTGAAACTCCTGTTGTCCAGCTCAATGCCATGTCAGAGCTGCCAGTCCATCAGGCTGTCCAGTACTCTTTTCTAGCACCACAACTCAAAGGCACTGATTCTTCTATAATCCTCAGTCATTACCAGCTCTCAGATGTATAGCAAGCAATTGAGACCACCTAGGCTTGGATCAGGCATACCTCAGTCTCTAAACTGACACCATTACTCTTTAGAACTCTGGAGAGATTCTTGACAGCAGAGTTTCACAATACAACGTGTCTTTTGATTTCCTGACTGTTGTTGTCAAGAATGTTGCTTGTGGATCCAATCACGATTAGATTATTAACAACCTAAATATTTTCTCTTTCAATCGCAATATTGAGAATCTTTATTTTCATGATGTTGAGATGTAACCCATATTGACGGCTACAGACTTTCTCCTTCTCAGGTCCTCCTCAGTTTTGGTGAGCAAGGTTGTGTTATCTGTTTATTGCAGGTTGTTGTTGAGTCTTCCTCCAATCCTGATGTCACATTGTTCTTCATAAAGCCCAACCTCCCGGATAATCTATTCTGCATATCAACTGAAAACATATGGAGACAGGACACAGAAATAAAGGAAACAGAAGTTATGTTGCAAATGTGTTTGGCTAATTCCAGAATGCAATGCTATTTTATTTTAGCATTACTGTTTATTCAGTTACCTTGTTGTTGATTGCCTTCTAATTGAGAATGACTCAATGCGACTCTATGATCAAAAGGCCTGTAGTCACTGTACAAC